TTCAATTGAAAGATTCAAGCATTACAATCATGATGTAAAGCTACATTCCATACTTTGCATCTATAAACAGTCTGGCTATGGTACTCTTTACAACAAAGTCTTTTGCTATCAACAGACTTTACGATAAAATGTCTACCATCTCCATGCAATGGTTTTTGAATGCTGAATTCACTAGGTCTTCCTGTTGCTGACCTATTTCTGGTTGATTCTACACTCTCAATAGGAGTTTGCAAAAGTAATAATGCATTCTCGCATCTGAAATCTAAAAGAGACTTTATATTTTCAGTAGTAAAAAGTGGTGATATTTAGTAAGTTTAGATACGGTCTCACCTAATATAATTTATCAGTATTGTCAATTTGACTATTCTCAAATGCAAATTCTGTTTCATATTCCTGTACTGCAAACATGATAACCATTCTTGCTCGTACAACAGGAACAGAAATGTCCTTATTAAAAGACCAATACATTTTTTCTTGAGGTAAAGAATGATATCCTGTAAGCAATAATATTCTAATAAATCTTCTCATATAGGCTTCAGATGCAATAAATTCTGGGCCTTTTTTTTTTCTTTTTCTGCTGAGCGTATATATTTGTCTGTTCAACGAGAAGAGAGTAAATGTCTAAACCAAAACGAAAATCTAAAATCTGTGCACTAGTTTTACCTTGTGTTTTGTCTTTTATAATTTCTCTTCTATCTCTTTCGTCATGATCTTCCTGAAACATAACTAACAGTTCCTTTTTTATCCACTTCAAGATTTCAGTCTTCTGCTTTTTAAACTTTTTAGTATGACTATAACTGCTTTTAGAAGGCTGAAACTTACTTCTTACGTGAATTTCAACTTCCCCAGCAGTATCATTTGGTAAAATATCATTATCATTATTTAAAACATTGCCATTCCTTTCTTCTTCGTCACTAGATTCTACAATTTCTGAGGGAACAACAACAATATCAGTTTCATTCTGGTCATTATTTACATTATCATCATCTGTTTCTTCATCAAAAAATCTTTGAAGGGCTTTCTCCATTGTAAGATACCTCGTTCTAGGCATTTTTAAACAACCAGAGGTACTTACGTATTATCGCAACCAGGTTGGCGCGATTTGTAAGTTTGAGTAAAAAAGTATGAATAGAAAGAAAATGTACATTTATTAATTACAGATAATTTTTTACAGTTTTTTATATTATTTGTTTTAAAAATATAAATAGCAATTAAACCCTTCCGGTTTCGAATTTGAATAAGTTGCAGAATTATTTTTTCGGCAGAAATCTTTTGGCTATTGCTTTTAGCACTGATTAAAAACCGTCTTCGCCATTAACAGCTTGACCTTGGCGCCATATAAATTCGATACAAGATGATGACGGGCTGTTCCTCTCTGTTTTTTGTTGCGCCATTTGGCTGAGCCCCACATGCGCTCTACATGTTGTGTGAACGCCTGTGTTGGGATCCACAAAGTTATATTTGTGATTAACAGTTCGATGCAGAAATCCAGCATTTTCGAACTCACTTGTATTGTATCCTTTCCAGCAATCCGAATAAATGATGCTTCCTTCCTTGATATTTTCGCAAATTTTTTCCATGAGGCTAACGGCGCTTCTGTTAGGTACAGTAAGCAAAAATGTCTCTTTCTTTTCTCGGCAAATTCCGCCGAAAACCCATTGCTGTGGTAGTACACGCCCAGTGTTATTTTTTCTTTTTACAAATAAACTTTCGTCTAAACACGTAGGGTTGCCGTAAGTAGGGTCGCCAAATTTGGCGATTTATGCGAATTTTGGCCTGGTTGCGTTAATACGTAAGTACCAAACCAGAACATGAACCAGAACATCGAAAGGAATGAGTGAAAAAGGGGATTGACTACCCGTTTCCTGCTGACGTTACGTCAGCGCAACACCTGTTTTTCCTTCGTTCTCAACACAAATATAAACATCTGACTGATGTAATGTTCTAATAAACGGTGACCTTGACTAAAAATAGATCACTCATAAAAACGGCGATTCTTTCGTTAAATATTTTCAGGAAAAATACCCGGTCGAAAATTTTGCTTAAAGTATGAGATTAATTATTATAAACAAAATGCTTGTTGAAGGTAAATATTTTTTTACAGATATAATCTTCATAATATTCCCTATACAAATTCATCAGCTGGTATAAAATATCTTAGGTAGTTATATTCATATACGCATTTATTTTGACCGTTGCGTCAAGGCAACACCAGCAGCTAATGGGTTAATAAATTTTTAGTCTGTTATTAAATCTTTTTTGTGAACCTTTACATATAAATATCCAGGCATTCTAGAATGAATGCAGTAATTTGTTATGATGATTATATGAACTTTTAATATTTTCTTTCACTTAATTTCAAAAGGAAAAAAAAAAAAAAAACTAAGATGTAAATTAAGATTTATGAATGACATATAAATTCAGTTCAAAGACTGCTATTTGAATTTGTTTCTCATATACAGTCAAGAGTCGTTAATTTGGACACCCATAATCTGGACCTCAAAGCTAAAAACTTTCTGCGCATGCGCCGCGTTGGCACATGCGCACAGGCGTTTTACGCGTGCACGTAAGACCTGGACGACTGCGCATATGCGTGCACGCAGGTGCAGAATACGTTTTCGCCTTCGTGTTTAATGTATAACGGATGGTGTAAGCTAAAATGATCTAATTGTTTATTTCAGTTAATGTTAATGATTGCGTTGTTTCTTAATTTTCGAATTGGATCCCGCTTATTACTTTTTGCAGACTGTTAGAGGAATTTTATAAAAGTAAACTTGAACTTTCGATTATGTCAAATAGAATTTCCGATGCTGGAATTTCCAAAGGATCTACAAAACGAAAGTATGTTTCCATATCCATCAAACAAAAAGTGGAATTGCTGCAAAAATTGGATAAAGGCATACCTGTCTCAAAGTTATGCAAGGAATATAACATTGGAAAGTCAACTGTATATGACATAAGCAAAAAGAAAAAGGAACTTTTTGATTTTTTTGTGGATTCCGACACCCCACTTGCAATGAGTAACAGAAAAAGGGTTCGTTATGCTAAAAGTGATGATTATGACAGAGTGATGATTGAATGGGTCAGACAGCGTCGCAGCGAGGGCGTGCCATTGATGGGTCTAATGGTAATGGCTCAAGCCAAAATATTTCATGAAGAAATGAACTTAAACGGAGAGTGCATATATTCGACAGGTTGGTTAACAAAATTTAAAAATCGCCATGGTATAAGACAATTAAAAATTTCTGGTGAAAAATCTTCAGCTGATACTGAAGCTGCTGAACAATTTGCAGATAAATTCATCGAATTCATTACTAGTGAACAATTATGTGCAGAACAAATTTACAATGCTGATGAATCTGGTCTTTTCTGGCAATATGTACCGCGTAATACCTTGGCAACCTCTACAGAAAAGGCTCCAACTGGTGTCAAAGATTACAAAGCGAGACTAACAATTTTAGCGTGCGCAAATGCTGCAGGAACGCACAAGTTCAACTTTTCGGAATCGGAAACATGCACGACCTCGACCGTTTAAAGGAGTAACGATTTTCCCTGTTATATATCGTGCAAATAAAAGAGCATGGATGACACTGTTGATGAATGATTGGTTTGAAAATCATTTTATACCCGAGGCTCGGCGACATTTGAATTCAGTTGGTTTACCTGATAACTCAAAAATAGTTCTGATTGTTGATAACTGTTCGGCACATACTTCACTTAAAGTTTTAGTGAAAGATAATGTATCCGTGTTATTCTTCCCTCCAAATTGTACGTCTATCATTCAGCCTATGGATATGCGAATAGTGCACGTGCTGAAATGCAAATATAAAACAGCATTTTTAAAATCTATGTTAAATTTCTTGAACAGTGGCAAGACTATTCAAGAATTTTTGAAATTTTTTAGCATAAAATCTGCCGTATGAAGCATCGCAATATCGTGGGAGGATGTGTCTTCAAGTACGTTAAAAAATGCTTGGCATAATTTATGGCCATCTACCATATTTCATGGTGAGGAGGATGAAGATGATAGTAGCGAATTTGAAGGTTTTCGGACATCGCAAACTAAAGGTGAAATTTTTCAGTTATTGGATTTTGTAAAGAAATGTGGAGAAGCGGTAATAAATGAAGATGATATAGAGAAGTTTTTCATTGCGACGACAATGCACCAATCATCAATCAATTAACGGACAGCGAAATATGTAGTATGGTTCTAGATCCAGAAAATATCGCTTCCGATAGTGAAGAAAGTGACACAGACGTTACCGAAAACGAAAGAATTTCGATTGACAAATTAGTCGATATTCTCGACACCGCAATTATAGGACTTGAACAGCGGAACTATGTAACTGAACAAGAAATGATGTCTGTTTATAGAATTAAAGAGAAAGTATTATCACATAAAACAAAACAACTTAAACAACTTACATTGATAGAAATGTTTAATAAAGTAAACAAATAAATATTAAGCTTTTTTTTGTAAATTTTGTTACCCTTTAGATCATAATTGTTCTTTATTTCATAAATTACGGTTTCATATTTTTAATTTTATAATTTCTGCATGCCATCTTACCAGATTTAAACTGATGATCTATAATCCGGAAAAATCGATAATCCGGAATCGCCGAAGTCCCGACGAGTCCGGATTAACGACTTTTGACTGTATATAAGTCTGTTACAAATTCATTTTTTATTCCTAAAACTATATCTTCTTTAACATAAATAAATAAATAAAAGTAAGCATACAGTTATCTGTAATTTTTTTTTTTTTTTTTTTGAAAATTTAAGGTACCAATTACTGGATTTCATTCCTCTATACTTCAGTGAAAATACTGAAAAATTTAGATAATGAATTATATATTATTCTGCATGGCAAAATGGAACTAAACAAAACTTTGGGTTATTTAAATTATAAAACACTAGAACACATATATGAAAAATAAAATTACTTTGCAACTCATGTATAAACCAATTAAGTAATCAATAAGGAACAGTAAATTTACCAAATGGAGGAAATACAAGAATGTACTCAGCATTGCACTGAGGGCAAGAAACTGCAGAGGTACTATTGCCCTTTTGTTTTTCATCAATCCACCGCTGAAGACAAGTTTGATGAACCCATCTTGTTGTACCTCGACACCTACACGGTTGAACCCATTCAGCATCTCTATCGTCATCTGCATTTCCAAAACATACCCAACAATTTACTCTAAAAAAAATTTTTAAATTAAAAAAAAATTCATTGCGGAGAAACAATTTTAGTCTTAAAATATTTGGAATTTTTAATACCATTTGGCAATTTAATTATTATCATTTCCATTATGATGTTTATGTATCTGATAAGTATACAAAAATCAAATAATATTTAAAAAGTTCAAATTCACATTAGAAAATACATGTAGGAGTGACATGGATATCTAAAGTGTTTGTTTTCCTAAGATATATTATCTTAATCAATAAAATGTCTTTCACTTTAAAATAAAAAAAATCCCAATGAATATAAAACTAATTAATAGCAATTTTCCATTAATATTACCTACCAACCTGGCTGAACTTTTTTTTTAATTTGGATCAAAATTATGTTTTATTTATCAATAAATATTTGGCTACAGTAACTCTATTAAGAAAAAGCTTGGGGTGTAATAAAAAGCAAAAGAAGAAAAGTAAAAGCTTTGATAACAATTAAATATATATATGTAAAAAATCAATTTATATTTATGCTTGCGATTAATATCTTTCTAAGATAGAGGGGCAAACATGAAAAATAAGTATATAAAATTTTACTACAAATAAGTGTAAAAAAACTGTTAAACAATATTCATTATTCCATACCATTATAGAATGATCGAGCTCTGAGGACAGAAGCTTTGTACTATTCCGCTTTGAGGACCGTAAAAAAATTGCAGCGAGAATGTATGCGCAAAAGCACCAAAACTAGCAAACTCGCCCATTTAACAGCGCGCCAAATCTAGCGTACGTGCTGATTTCAGATTGCGTAAGTTTATATAGATCTATATTTCTTAAGACGCCATTGAAATACTAGTTTAATTTTTAAATCCTTTTTTGATATCCTATGGATTTAACAATTTGGGAATTGCCCATGACGAAAAGTCTGCAATAGAATTTTGGGTAAAGTGCAGAATCACCCACTGCTTGACGCATTTTTAAGAATTGCACATACTCAGTATCCATGTACACATCAACCTATTTTCACATAAAAAAAAAAAAAAAAAAAAATATCCCAGAATTGCTCAAAAATGGCACTGCGCACACCCTTGACTTTTATCTATTACACATCAACCTATTTTCACTTAAAAAGTAAAGAAAAATTGACAAAAATCCAATTGTCCATTGTAAAAAGTGGCAAACAAATAAGTGGGTGATTCTGCACTTTACCGAGAATATTTTCAAAGAAAAGGCATCATTCATTATACAAAATTATGTTGAACAACCAACGAGATGAAAATATGCTTTAGCGAACTCGTAGCGAAACAGCGATGCAGGCATCCATTCAGTTATGTTTAGCAATTTTTATATAAATTATAATAATGATCTGAAATAGTTATTTAATCTTATGCTTCCATTCATGTTTAGCCCTTTTTTATATAAATTACAATAATAAAAATGTATTATATGAAATTAACGTTTCATCTAAATTAAAACATCAATCTTAGATAGTTACGAGGGCCATCCAGGAAGTAGATTACCTTTCCGTCTGTGTCCGCTAGGGGCGGGGCTAGCGCGGCCATCTTGGGGTCAGAGCGTTGCGCAGCTCAGTCTGCATCTAGCCGTGCTAGTGAGAGGTTCGTGCTGTGCTCCGTTCAGATACTGTGACGGTTTGAAATGTCTGCGTTAATTGAAAATCCCGCGAGCTGCGAGGTGCGCTCAGTAATAAGGTTTCTGACTGCAAAAAAACTGTAAACCGATAGAAATCTATCGGCAGCTTCGTGAAGTGTATGGGGACAACATTATCACTGAAGGTGGAGTGCGTCAGTGGGTCATAAGATTTCAAAATGGCCGAACCAATGTTCACGACGAAGATCGAAGTGGGAGACCCAGCATAGTGACCGCCGAACTTCTCGAAAAAGTCGATGCTAAAGTCCGTGAAAATCGAAATTTCACAATAACGGAACTTTCTTTGAGTTTTCCACACAATTTCGCGAAGTTGTTTGCACGAAATCATCAGCGAAAAGCTTGGTTACCACAAGTTTTTGTGCAAGATGGAAGGCAAGAAGAGGTAACGAAGTGGTTGAAGGCGCAGGCGGCCGAATTTTTCGACGAAGGAATTTCCAAGCTCGTACATCGCTACGATAAATGCCTTAATTTGTATGGTGACTATGTAGAAAAGTAGTATTTGAGTGTGGCTTTCATCTGTATATAATAAAATTTGTTTCCTATACTTTGTTTATTTTTTTATTCCAAAACGTAATTTACTTTCTGGATAGCCCTCGTATTTACTATTATACTTCCTTTCTTGCATTAGAGGTGCCGAAGTTATTTTTGGCAGCACTGGCATCAACAATAGTTTGGCAATTTTTTATGGTCCTCAAAACCGAATAGTACCGAAGCTTTTTATACTGAGCAAAATTATGAGTTTGACTGCATTTAAAGTAATTTTCTTTTCTGATTCACACACGATTTAATACTGCATCCCCTTTCAAAAAAAAGTTCCATATTATGATTATATGTGTAAATCCTGATTTGACAAAATACCATTTCTGTACAGAAAAGTTATAACTTTTTCCCCTTACCTTGTAAATTCCAAATGTTCTAATAAAACTTCAACAACTGTATATAACACAATTAAATTCTAAAGATTTAAAATACTGCCATTATGTGTGTAATATTTCTGAAATTTCATTACCTAAACATCACTTAAAATGGCTGAAGGGAAAAAAAATGCTTAGGTTTAGTGGACCACAATCATATTTGTTAGGTTTATGATAACTGTTTTTTTTTTTTTTTTTTTGATACATGCTACATGCATAAAATTCAATTTTTTTATTATTATTTTTCAGTAAATAGTACAATTGAAAAACTCTTTCATGTAAAACTTTATCCCATATTAGATGCTACATAAATATACAAATTCAAAATAAATACATATTTCATTCTCTTTTAATACATGTCATTTTAATTTTAAGTGAACCAAGCCAAAGAAAAACAATACAATTTTTATTTGCGATGCAATAGTACATCCATGTATGAATAGATTGCAAAAGGACTATTTTTTCCCAAGATCCAGTTGGTCATGAAATGAAAATCACAGGGAAAATCAAGCTGTTTTTACTGAAAAGAACTGTTTTTACATTTTCCAGCTACTTCTCTACATAGCTGCTGCTCTGACTGTAGTGTGGCACCAACTTTCCAATATCCTAGTCATAGAACACGGCCACCTGTGCTTGAACCAATTCTCTACACTGTTACAGTTATCTGACAAGAGGCGGAAATTATAATAACATGGTAGAATGCCTAAAATATTGTTTTGGTCAAGATGAATTACTTATGGAGTTCTATGAACAAGAACTGCTAAAGTTAGTTGTAAAATATGCTACAAGCAATAACCGAAAGTTGGACACTGTTAGACTGTATGATAAAGTGAAATCCTATCTGAGAGCTCTGGAATCCATTGGTTTGACAGCGATATATATTCTGCCATGCTTTTCCCTCTCATCAAATCTTGCATACCAGAGGAGATGGTTGCAAAATCTGATAGTTAATACACTGGATAAGTCAGCGAAAAATCCATACAGTGAGAAGCTAAAAAGCTTGTTACTATTTATGAAAATGGAAATAGAAGGACAGGAGTGAATTCTTTTAGCGAAATCTGAGTTTTTCAAATAAATATGAAAAAGCGGAGAAAGAAAAATAAAGATAAGATGACTAAAGTTCTTAATCAACCGACAGCTGCAGATTTCAAGAGTTTTCGAAAAGAGAAAACAAAACATAGCTTTTGTACTTTGTGAAAAGGCACACAAGAGCAGACATTGATTTAAAGCTCTGAATTTCCAGCAGAAACAAGATATTTTAAAGGATAAGGAAATCTGTTTTATATGTTTAAGAGCTGGACATCGGTCAAAATTTTGCAAGACATATATTAAACGTATTCTTTGTAAAAAAAGACATAAATATAAAAATCACCGCGAAAAAGTTGCAACGGGTCGTGCATCGGAGTTGTTCAACGAAACCTGCCTAACTCATTTCCGCAATATCCTGAAAGGAAGGAAGAAACACACCTCCTTGGACAGTTTCTAAACGATCTGCAGGTGAAAATGAGCAAAGCATGACGAAAAAAGTGAAGACCAGTGACGAAAATTAAGCACTTCCGTAAGCACTTCACTTTTTCTTTTAATTATGTTTATATAGAAAATGTATTTGTTATTTATAAATAAATGTTTCTTCTTGTAAATACATTTTTCTCATTCAAAAACACTTAACAAAAACAACTGAGGTGGTATTTTGAGAGCTGGAACGGATTAATGGCATTTCAATTAATTTTAATGGGAAAAACTGCTTTGAGATACGAGCAAGGTTATGGAACGAATTAAACTCGTATGTCGAGGTACCACTGTATAAAAAATTTCATTTTTTTAAAAATATTTTTAATTGTAGAAATATAATTTTAGTCATCTTTATGCAATGCATTGCTCAAGTTAAACTTTAAAGATAATTTACCTTGAATTTTCTTTCTTTTCTTCTCGGACAGCATACGTAAGCAAAATTTGAAAATAGGCCATGAATGTGATTTCACTTGCATGGACTCAAGTAAAAAAAACAAAGATTAAAAATAGCTTCATTTAACCCTTTGACGTGCGGTGGTCATGCCCTGAAACCACCAATTTTCAAAATTTTTTCTCTTCTTCCTTCCGAAATTTTTGAGTGAAAATCAATTGATTACTGATCTTTGACCTCTAAATCAGTGGTGCGCAAACTATGGGTCGCGACCCCTATGGGGGTCGCCAAATTTTTATGAAATGCATTATGCCTGCATGCTGCATACCATACAGTGTACATATAAAGAGTGAAGCGCCGTCACTCATTGATTAATTGCAATTTCATGCTGTCCGCTCTTTCTTTGACCGTGATGCTTAATGTATGTAAAGTGTGAAACGCAAGTTTTTCACTCCGGTAGATAGAGCCCTCTTCGCGGTAATTCGCCAGTTTTACTAAAAAGCGCCTATTTGACTAGACGTTAACCGCAGGGAAAGGGGAAATATTCGGTTCCGTGATCAGCCAATCAGATGGCGAGGTACGCAGTGTATCTGACAGTCAGAGTGAAGACGTGAAGTGTTCGCATGAAGTTCTAGCATGTAGCAGTTGGCCTGCAATTGTTTTAGTTTATCCTCGAGTTTTATCATGTGACGTTGTGTAATTATGATTTTTTATATTTTTATCGTGCTCTGCTACTCTTTGTTATCAGGTATGTACTATCATTAGAGAAAAATCTCTCTTAATTGAATTTATCGAAAAAAAAATGATAAAATTTTATATATTATTTGTTTTAGTTCAAATAATTTAATCCCTATCTTCATTAATGGATAGAATGGGTAATTACATACACCAGGTACATCTTCAGCTAACAAACGAACTAAATACTGATGAGGAGTTCGCAAAATACTGAACCAAAGTGCCCTATCTAAAAAAATTAAGAAAATACAATGAGGAATTTTATTAAGTATGGTTTTACATTTTGTGTTGTTGATGATGAAGAACGCCCGATATGTGTCATTTGCAAACGAAAAATTAGCAAATGAGAGCATGAAACCAGCTGAAATTAAAAAGGCACCTGAAAATAAACATAAAGACTTCAAAATAAACATGCCGATTTTTTTCAAAGACGTGCTGAAAATCTGAAAATTCAAAGTGCACATTTAAAGAAATTTACAATACATCAGAAAGCATTACGAGCTTCTTTAGAAGTTTCTTATCTAATAGGAAAAACAATGAAATCCCATACAATTGGAGAATCCCTTATCCTTCCTGCAGCAACTAAGATGACATCAATTATGCATGGCGATAACTATGGAAATGAACTAAAATCAATACCATTATCAAGCGATACCGTGTCTCGGCAGATTTCTTCTGACACGAAATATCGACTCAGAAGTCATAAAACGCATACAAAATTCATCTGTATTTGCTTTACAACTGGACGAGACTACCGATATTACTAAAATGTCACAACTAATTATTTACGTTAGGTTTATTTTTAATGAAGATATAACAGAAACATTTTTATGTTGCAAAAGTTTGAAAGGACAAATAACTGGAGAAAAAATATTCGAAGTAATAAATGAATATTTTGTAACAAAGTCCCTTACCTGGGCAAACTGTGTTGCGGTTTGTACTGATGGTGCTGCAGCATTAACAGGTTTGAATTCAGAAACTCAGAGGCTTAATTCAGAAGGTGGCGCCTCATATGGTATTTAATCACTGTATGATTCATCGGCTAGCTCTTAATACAAAAGACATGGATGAAGAGTTGCACAACATATTACAAGACGCAGTTAGTTCAATTAACTACATTAATGCAACAGCCACAACAGCCGTCTCTTTTCAATACTTTGCAATGAGATGGGCTCAACGTATGAGAGATTACTGTTACACACCGAAATCAGATGGCTTTCACGTGAGAAAATACTACGACGGATATTTGATTTGAGAAATTAAGTGTACATATTTTTAATCGAAAAGAAACATAGATTGGCAAGTTATATCAATGAAGTTTGGCTAGGGAAGCTGAGCTATTTAGTTGATATTTTCGAAAAACTTAACGACTTAAATTTGAGCTTTCAGGGTGAGAATTCAACTATCATAACTTCAGCCAGTAAAATTCAAGTTTTTAAGAATAAGCTTAGTCTCTGGCAAATTGAACTGAATAAAAACAACACCGACATGTTCCCTTGCTTTAATGATTTTATCGAGGAAAATAATATAGATATATTTACATTTAAAAACATCAGTTCCATCACATTGAAAAGTTAAAGGAAAATTTTTCGAGAAGATTCGAGGATTTTCCTGAAAACGATCTTGCTTGGATTCGTGATCCATTTCCTTTGACATATGCAGTTCAACTCTTCAAATTAGGGAGAAAGAGCAATTGATAGATCTAATTAGTGATTATACTCTTCGAAATCAATTTAAGACTTAGCCTTGCCAAAAATTTTGGCTATCCGTGGAAAAACAATATCCCGTTTTATGCAAGAATGCCATCAGATACAATTTGCATCAACGTATTTATGTGAAACTGGATTTAGCAAACTAGTTTCAATAAAAACTAAATACCGCTGGCGTTTAAACTCTGAAGATGATATGCGAATTACAATTAGCAACATACATCCAAACATCGATGAGATAATTAGAAACTTGCAGCCACATACATCTCATTAAAGGGCAATTTACTGATTTTTGTGTTATACAAAAAGTATTTTCTTAAAATTATAAATAAAATTAATATGAATCAGATATGATGATGTTTTTATTCGATGAAATGAAAGAAATGCGGGAAATATACGTCGTATTTGTGAACATTTATCTCTAGGGGTCGCCAAAAATTTTCTCTCTACAAAAGGGGTCGCAGTCGAAAAAAGTTTGCGTATCACTGCTCTAAATAACACAAAATGACTACAGAATCATACATGTTTTAGGTCTTAGTACTTCAAATCGGATGCCTTATAAAATTTGTTTTCAATGAGACAAAATAACATCCTTTTATTAATATAAACAACTTTAAATTTCAAAAGTTATTCATCACACATCATGATTTCTATCATAAACAAGAAAAAATAGCAATAATTAAACTGCATGTATAAAAAAACCCCTCTATATGTATGGCATTTGCTTTGTGGTTTCAGGGCGCGACCACTGCCCCATTGCCACTGCCACTCTAGAGCATTGTGTCACAATGCTCTAGAGGCTCGGTGGTCGCACCTTGAAACCCCTGTTTTTCACAATGGCATTTGCTTGCTTCTCAAATAGGAATGTTTATTTTTACCCAGATATAGATAAGGGGTTTTGAAATCACAGTTATTTTATTACTAAACAATACATGCACCTGCCCAGTAAAAAGTCTTTCTTTTCCAGACACTTTTCTATGACCTATTGTGATTTTATAAATTATTTCCTGTGTTTTAAATTTAATGTATGCAAATATACTTTGCAGTAATTAAAAATAGAAATCGCATAAAGTTTTATTTAAATAAAAAATATTTTCTGAATATTTTGAGATGAAATACGAATAAAATAAGTATGAATGGGAAACGAATGATTCATACCAAAGCCAAAAAAACCAAGCCCACCCCCCAACCATTAACATAAAAAAACCACAAATGTCATGTGCCAGATGAAAAAAAAACTAAATAACGCTGGACATATACCAGTGAAATTTAGATCCAATCAGTGTACATTTTGTAGCACAAGATAGAAACATCATAGAAGAAGATACATGTGCGAAACATGCAATGTGGGTCTATGCATGTACCAAAAAGACAAAACATGCTTTGAACAGTGTCACAAAAATATTTGTTCTTTGAAATAAAATAAAATAAAAAAAAAAAAAAAAAAAAAACTGAGTCTTTTTTTTTTTTTTTTAATCCTTATTTTACTGAGTTTTTTAATCCATAGCCAAATGTCCTTGTAGGTACTTATACTTTCACTGCTATAGAAAAATTACATATAAATGCTTATTTTTTAATTTTTTCTGACAATTTAGTTTGTAAAATAATGTAAAATATGTATATTATGCAATTCTTACATGCATTTTTTTAAATTCGTCAATTTCGTCATTTATTGCACATGGAAAAATGTAAGTTTTTTCCCCCTACTACCTATGTAAGTTGGTAAGTTTCAAAGTCCTAGATGCGTGGTGTTTTCACAGTGCGACCACCACTAACAAAACAATGGGCAAGAGTAGATTTTTTTTTAAAATTCATATATTATTTGTCTCTAGGATCATAATATTCAATTCTACAGTTTTTAGTTTAAAAAATTATAAAAATAATATCGCGCGCGTCAGAGGGTTAAGAGGTATTTTCAAACTCTGAGTCAAATGAAAGCATTGACAATGAAAATTATGATGAAACTCAGATTATGAATGAAGAAGATTGGATACTGGGATTAGGCATTATAACCAAGGAATATGTAAGCTGTGCCAATGTAATGAAGTCAGACTTATGAACAGTTGAAGAACTGACTGAAAACATTTTACCAGATGAACATTCAAGTAGCAGGGATGATAAAGAAAATGAAGACATAATCCAACCTTCTTTTCAAAATGTTATCTACTGCATTGACACTATCAGAAATTTCTTTGTGCATCATAATGCAAGCAAGAAACATTTCAAGAACTGAATTCAATTCATTAAGGCTGAATAGGAAAACAAAAAAATCACAGTTATTAAAAATTAAGAGGTTTACTTCAAAATTATATTAAAATTTTAAAATCTAATTAAAATGGATCCTATAACCATGTGATATGGATTTAAACATTTAATATACAATGAACACTCTTGTGGTGACCTCTTCCAAAAGAACTTCCCAGAGTAGAAATAAATGCTTGTACTGAGCATTATCTCTCTAAGACAACCATCTTCACCGAAGACCAAAATAATTGGAAATGTGGATGATGGTCTAACAGAGGATTTAATATACTTTTACAATTCACCAGTGCGTGATCCACCTAGATCTGAACCATTTAGTAGCCCATAAACAATTGGCGACCACTTCCAAAACTGACCAGCATTTCTAAAGATATAAATAAACACCTGCAGTGAACATCATCTGAGGAGATCACTTCCACAGAATACCAAAAATCAACTAGAAAAATAGATAGATATCTTAGAAAGACTTTTACTCATAGTAGTTACATTCATTGCAATTATGTGTAAAGCTTAAGGAAATTTATAAGCGGCCGAGCGGTTAAGTTGCTGAATACTGGCAGTTAGACCTGGACTCGATTCCTAGCAAAGCGGCTTTTCTTGGTTTTTCCTACACATAACGTGGTTACGAGCAAGTTTTCCTTAGAAAGCCCTCCATGAAGACAACTCTTCTCTTAGGCAGATAGCTTTCATGCGCTTTGTTATAAATGAAACCAAATTAAAGAAACTTATTGATTTTACACTCTAAATTGTATCCCAAATAAATCATACGTGGGAGCTTTTTGTATTCAGAACCTAAAAACATATCAGAATGGAGGTTTTTCCCACATAAAACGTGGTTACGAGCAAATTTTCCTTATAAAGCCTTTCATGAAGACAACTCTTCTCTTAGGCAGATAGCTTTCGTCGCTTTGTTATAATTGAAACCAAATTAAAGAAACTTATTCATTTTACACTCTAAATTGTGCCCCAAATAAATTGTGCATAGGAGCTTTTCGTATTCAGAACCTAAAACGCATCAGAAAGGAAAATTAAATAAACTTAATTATTTAACTTCATTATGAAGAATTCCAGTTTTTAATTTATCTCTAGTTTCCAAAAATCTGAGCATGAATAATCATGTAATAAAACATAGATCGATAACTTTGAAATTCAGAGAATAACCTTGATGACCTTCGACCGCTAGCAACTGAAAGGTAAAAATCGTTGAATATTGGTAGCTCGACTGGTGTTCAAACCATGGCGGATGGGCTACTTACAAGGAAATTTCGTGGTTTTCTTCAAGTGTAACATAAATATGAGTCAGTTTCCATCAGACGTATGAAATAATTTTTGTATCAACTCCACACTATAAAGAGTCCTCCATTAAAGGCATCCATATCCTCTCGGCAGATAATCTTAGGGTACTTTGACATAATCTAAATAATCTGATTTGATGATCATGCTAATCTACTTTCATACTGAAGCTTGTGATGCTTTAATTAATGTTTTATTTATCATAAACTGTGTTAACTACTTTAAATTAATCATTTCAGCACCTTTTCTGTTAGATTTCCTTTTTAAAATCATTTTAGAAGCCTAAATATGTCTGATTGTTTTAGTAAAACATACTATTTGTAACTGTTTAACATATAAGTACAGAGAATCTCATGACGACGAACTCTAAAAGTGTTTCCTATAACATAAACAGGCTTTTGTAAATTTGCCTCTCTAATGCAAAAATCTATATAAGTGGCCCAAATTGCTTGAAGCCATTAGTGGTCGCACTAGAAAAGTCTCATTATATTTGCATTTTTGTGGCATTTAATAATTTCAGTTTATTTAACATGTCTGCCTTATAAATTCTAATATTAATTTTTCAAGGTCATATAACAACTTTCAAAAGAAATTAGAACAGTAATAATCTTTTACACTCCATTTGGATTATTGTATTCGTATGAAAGCCTTGAATCAATTGTTTATCATTATTTTGTATGTATATTATTGGAAAAATTCAAAATCCTTAATTATGATAATTTTCAGCATTTGAGCTGTAAATGCCAAGTTATTTAATGACAGATTAAAAATTTGTGCATTTACAATAAGAAAACTATAATTATGAGCTTTTTAGCGTCTGAAGCTGGTTAAAACTGGCTGAAACGTGTTGCAGTCTCAGTTTCGTATGCAAAACCATTCTTGCACTGATTTGTTATATGCTTAATTTATAGCAGTTTCCCTAAGTAACAAAATTTTAGATTTATATCGTTTTTTAAAATTTATGAAAATAAACAAAAGGAAAGAAAAAAATTTCATTTATACATTATAATTATTTTCTGTTCATCGTTTTCGTCTTTCCTAGCAAATTGCAAATTTTAAGATTCAATAAATCAAACTCAATCAACCCAATTTTAAGATTCAATAAAGACACTAAAGTTATATAACATTTAAGAACTCTCGGTAATTTAGAACTCCAGGGCATTTGTACTCAAGAAATGATTTCAAAAATGTTCTGCTGCATCTATTAATAATTGTTCTATCCCTTGAACAGCTAATATATACTGCATTTCCCCCTCATTTCTTCTTAGGTTACTTGTATCATGATAAAAGACATGTGGGCTACCTGTCTAAGAGAAGGGATGTCTTCAGGGAGGACTTTTAAGGTAAACTGGCTCTCATTTACTTTATACATGAAGAAATTCACAAAATTTCTCTTCGAACCAACTTGTTCACTGGGATTTAAAGCCCGGTCAAAGAATTAGTGTTAAGCGATCTTACCGCTGTAGCACTAATGGGCTGCATTATGTATCATGCTTTATGTATTTAGAACACAAATGACCTTCAGTTCTTTTATATCATCTTATATTATATATGTATTTAGGGGCCATAGAGATAGTTCTAATCATTCTAAGGAGTGTGTTTATGTGAGTATCGTTTGCTTCATTTTATTGTTGCAAACAGCATAAATTCCTTTTGTTTTTTCTTCTTTTAGTTTTGAACTTTATGTGTGGCAACAAGATAATTGATTGATAGAATTGTGTTTGTGACAGCCATGTAGAATGGCTCGCTTATTTTGTATCAATTATTTTGCATCGCTGACAAGTGTAATGAAATAAAAGTGTAGGAATACAGTCCATTTGTTGATTGATTATTGTTTGTGAAAACATATTAAGTTTAAGAACATTTATTGTTGGTCAAAAGTCTAGCCGGAGAGCTAGCGAAGATAGTGACTGTTCTAAGTGTATTCTAACAACGCAATTATGCATATGGTTGGTGAAAATTATCCACTTTGTGAGGTAAGTGGATTTTGAACAAAATTCGTTTAATTTGTTGTTAAATTTTAAGAACAATGTTGTAATACAACATAGAATTCGATTTCATTTTAATAATAGTGTTAAGTGATTTAAGAACAATTTCTGTTTTTGAATTGATCAATTATGAGTGAACTTATAACTTTTAAAACAAAAAGAGCGGTCTTACGCAGGAGTGTTACTAATTATGTAAAGAAAATTGAAACTATTTTAACTGCAGATGAAATTAATTTAATAGAACTAGAGGAATGTGTTGAATTATTGACACAAAAAGAAACTGAGTTAAGGAAGCTTGATTCTGAAATCGAATTACAGATACTAAAGAATTAGAAAACGATACTCACATAAACAGAGTGTATCCATAATATTTTTTACCAGTAAGACCTTTTTCCATTGCTCTTTTTCTTCCCTTTTTGTTCTCGTGATCTCCTGTTCTCATGCCCAAGTTTTATGACATTCAGTGAATATCTATCAGGTATTTCTCCTGCCTTCTTAGCATGCCTTCGTGTTGTAGTGGTCAGACACATTTTTATTTGATTTGTTTTGTATAAAAATGAGGTTAGTGCTACGAAATCTACTTGTTGGGATTTGTTCCATCAATCATTAAGAATTGACACGAATAATACTTTATAACTGAAAATATTCCATCATAAATGGGTAAAATTTTAAAGCATGAAATATGACTAGGATATTTTCAGCTAAGTTTTGCATCATGAATCCTGACCTACCAGTTGATGTTATTAGTGATGCAATCAGAGTCGTAGCTAGGGTTTTCAGTGCCCAGGGACAAATGAAGATCACGTGCCCCCTACTGCTTGCCAAGGATGGAAAACATTTAATTCTAAAATGTCGTAACATCGGTTTGGCGCCCCTTGGATTCTGTGCCCGGGGACAGATGCCCCCCTTGCCCCCCTCTAGCTACACCCCTGGATGCAATATATGTTATCATTAAAGCCATATAATTCAATTATTTCATAGAATAACTAGGTATTTCATGAATTAACTAGTTAAGTCAATTAAAGTGTATAATAGATTAATAAGTCACCCAACCAGGATAGTGGTTAGTGAAGCTGACTGCCGTATTGAAGAGCCCGTGTTTGAATCCCAGAGAAGCCATGGATGCTTGGAAATGTATAGTGTCTGTGCGGCATGGGAGCACTCTAAATTTGCGGCGAGCCGAAAGGCCTCTTGAGAGGTTGGTTGCAGAGGGAAAGTGGTGGGAGACCCGCAGACCTGTCTTTTCTCAGGATGCCCTCCTTCAAAATTTAGGGCAAGAACTTAGCAAAGTCATACTGTCAACAGTAGAGTGCGCAAGGCTCTTGTCAATGACAGGTGCAATCTTGCACTCCAAGCAACAATGTATTTCGTGGGCTTGCTCTGATGTTACAGTCTGACAAGGGAGATAAGTCACGACAAAAACAACAACAATGGATTAATAATTTCACATTTTCTAATTGTTCTATAAAATAAATAGTTATTCTGTAGATTAATTAAAGATAGATTGTTAAAGTAAAAATAAACAATTTTGGATTAAAATCAAATCCTTTGTTTTATAAAACAACTAATGATAAATTGCTATTCTCTCGAAAAATACATTTTATATTACGGATAGATTAACTGATAAATAATAAAATAAGACAGAATACATAAAAAGAAAATCTGAAAGATTTCACATTTTAAATTATGTCCAAAGAGGCGTTTTCTTAAAATTTTAATTTTATTTATTAAATATCATGCTCTTCACACTTAAAACCCTAAAATTCAATTCAACAAAATTATCGCAAAATAAAAACTTTAAAATGAGCATATCTTTAGAATTTCCAATACGCAGTCTCGCACGCTGAAGACAAATTCCCTCCCCGTACAGTGGTTGCCATTCCTCATATTGAAGTTGTTGAGTCTGTTAATAAAAAAATTCTTCAATGTATGACAAAATATTAAATAGATAATAAAACAAATTCAATTATAGTTGAATCCTTGAGTTTGTAAATCAAAATTAGTTAAAGTTTTGCAAAATATGAAATCGATAATAAAACAAATTCCAAATTTCAAATTTGGTCTTCCACATGCCCATATTCGTAGGAGGATTACGTCATTCAAAATTCTATGGCTCTATGAACCGTTGTTTATCACAATGCGGGAAAAACACATGCATTTAGGCAGATTTTTCATATTTAATTTCTTCAAATATAATGCAGGACTCTAACGTTTAGTGGCAACAGTTTGAAAAGGGAAATGGGCATTTATAGTGATTCAAGGCAAAATCTCAAAGCGAAAACGATAGTCCTTCAAGGACAAAGCCTTTTTGGACTAATAATTAAATTTTGTTTCAAAGATATCTAAACCTTCATTTCCTCAAATAATCGCCTTATTGAAAAAGCTCTTAATTCCTCTAAAATTTCAGAAATATAGAATACAATCCAACTAAACGTGACGTGAATTTTAATAGAAAATCTTTTTTTTTTATCTTAACCAAAAGGAAAGACAGACCTTATGTGAAAGTCATTCTAGTCTAATATTATTATTTCCTAAAAAGTGCGGACATATCATTGTCTACATTGATAGAATCACGAAATAGATAAACGGAAGTCACACTGCTTGATCCCTATGATCGGACCCTAACTTCGGACCTCACAAAAGTTAAAACAGCTGCTAAATCTTCTGATATATTCCCAACTCAGCTTAAAAAATCTATTATTCCAGCCATTATTAGCTTTGTTAGGTTTTATACTCTCTCCAAAGTCCATAAAATAGAAACTTCTTTTCAACCTATAGTTTCCAACTTAGGAAAGGCATCATATTCATTGACCAGATATTTAGTTTCTGGATTTTCTTCTTTTATTTCTAATAATACTAACACTGTAAAGAATTCGTTTGAAGTCATCGATAAATTTAAATACATTTCTTCCCTGCACTCCGCTATGGTTTCTTTTGATATTAAATCTCTCTTTACCAGTGTTCCAGCCAAAGAAGTGTTAAAATGTCTTGAAATTAGGTTTCGAGAATTCCATTTCACACGTGCTGAAATTGAAGAATTAATTTCGCTTACTAATATCTGAGTATAACTTACTTTGTTTTCCAAAAGAATATTATCGCGAAATTGTAGGGTTAGTTACGGTTAATGCTCTTAGTCCTGTTTGTGCTGACATATACCTGCACTATTTTGAGGTCAAATTATTTTAGAAATTATCTTTTTGTCTCTGAATTTCGTCTCATGTTCACTCGCTATCAGAAAGTCTTCTAAGAAAACATCTTCCTGAGGCAGACCGAAGACATTCCCACAAAAGTAACCTGATCTACTGTAGCCTTAATTTATTTCGTTTGTGTTTCATAACATACTAAATACCTTGAAAAAACGTTTCTGGTTTTCAGTTTACGAAAGTTATATTTCTGACATATTAAAAGAATTGCCAATTGAGATGAATATTTGTTGCAGATCTCGTGATCAAGCGATCCAATGAAACAAATGCACATCAACGTTCTTAATAAATACATCTATCTTTCTATCTCTATTGCTGTTGTGAAATATGAGCCATAAGTGTGCAATACTTTATGTAACTTTAATTTATAATAAAATAATGTCAAAGCAACTTTTTTCCCTACCTACGTTTTCATTTTGAGCAGCTCATTCAAAAGGAAGTGAGATTTTATGTGCCATACTTAATTTCATGTTAATTTCTGAGGGAATAATTCTTAAATTTAACCCTTTCTTAAATCTTATCTTAATTTGTGAAGCTGTGAAACTGAAATTTAAACACCCACATCACATCAGATTAAAATTTATTTAACATTGCGATTTTCATGTGCTATAAATTTTAAGTATTCTAAAAGTGTTTTTTGAAAGCTAAGGTCTTTTCAAGATGTTATACTGTCACTTAAAGTTTTAGATTACAATTTCTATTGTTATTTTTACCTTTTTAAAAAAAGCTTAAATGCCTTTAACCTTAGAATTTGGGATTTTGCTAAGCGTTTGTATTCCATTTGGATGTGTATACGAAACTACCACATGTTACCTTTCCAGGTTGGTGCTAAATTTTACAAACATATAGAAATTGTAAAAACTTCTGTGTTTTTTATAAGTGTATATAATAATGCAATAATTTAAAAAGCAAATTGTTAGCTTGCTCGGTTTTCGCTATGTAGCAAGTGTATTGAAGTATTTTGCGAAACTATTAGTTCTTGAAGGTTCTAACAATGTTGAAACTAAATGAGTAATATCACTGGAGATTAAATATATCATACATATTTTGAAAAATAAATTTATTAAATGTTTAAAGTTTTAAAATGTCATATATTTAGTTGCCGATAAATATTTGACAAAAAGTTTAATATTATTCCCGAATTGTAGAATTCAGCAAATGACCTGCTGCTATTAAAAT